AACAATGACCCTTTATAAAAACAACCCTTCAAAAATCAATATATTCCCTATCTCAAATATAGGGGGAAATATTTTAATATTAACCTTGGCCTTGTGGCTCCAAATTCAAATCTAAACTATATATATCAACAAAGTTCTTTCTTGCACCTCTGTCCCCCCGTAGAGAAATCACTGTTGTTCTTAGGACCCTTCAAAAACTCAATATTTTCCCTTATATCTCAAATATTGGGAGAAACATTTGAAAGTCACCCTTGGCCTTGTGGCTCCAAGTTCAAATTTGGGCTATCTATATTGACAAAGTTCTTTTTCGCACCTCACTAATAAGTAACACAGAAAGGCGATGACCTACAACAGATTCTTGTGGTACCCCTGACAGAGGCGGCTCGTGGGAGCTGGCTGGCAGTTTTGTTGAGTGTCCTATCGTCAATGGACGGACTGGGGGGCGTGGGGGCCACCCCAAGCTCCCCCCCCCCCCCCCAAACTACCGATGTCTATTCACTGATGACTGCATACAATACCATTACCATAGTAAAAGAAAATTTAGTAAAACAAAATTTAGTAGAACAAAATTTTATTTTATACCCACGATCAATTCATATTTAGTTCAAATATTTAAACATTAAAGTCAAAATAGCCATTTCACAGAAGTGGTTTTATTATAATATAATAAATTGTGATATTATATATCGTGTACAGGTGATAAATTAATAAATTAATTTACTCTAAAAATGTACAAAAAATACACAATTTTTACTTTGCAATACTGGTTCAGCCCTTACCTGGGGACTTCAGGCTATCATGTTCATAAACATAGAATTAATAGAGATTAGGCGGAATAACAGGCTGCACAGGAGGGGGGCTGAAACCAGGTTTTCGATCAAACGCTGCCATTTGTAGTCAAACGTTGCCAGCAGTTACTCTCGTCCAATGAAATCGCTGCATTTTGCCTGCCATTATGCATAATTGAATTACATATATTCGTATACGAAGCTTGGCTTTCATAATGCATTGTAGGTTTACGTAACGTACCAGAACGCGCGCCGAGTTGGACTCGTCGACGAACAGATATTTTACGAGTATCACCCGTTAAGCGCCCGCCGCCCAAACTCCAAAGTCCAGTATACCCTTGAATGTTTACAAACTACCAAGACGCGCGTTGTATCACGTGGTGACCCCCACGGTCGCTTCACTATAGTGGGGGGAGCCGCGCACTTCGTGTGCGGCGGGTCATACAACGTATGACAAGACGCGCGCCGAGTTGGAACAAATATTTTACAAGTATCACCCGTTAACCAGTACCCCCTCAAAACTCTGGACATGCAGGCCCTAGTTTGATGATCGATTGTTATCTCGAAATTTGTATCACGTCGTGACCCCCACGTTCGTTTCACTACAGAAACCCCTGTATAGTTTCTACGATACAGGGGGAGCCGAGCACTCGTGCGCGGCGGGTCATACAACGTATGACGACTCGACGCGAAATTAAGTTTTTACAAAAAATCAGTGCAAACCCTTTTAATATATATAAAGGAAGCATCGATCCTGCAGCAAAATATAAATCACAAATAAAGAAAGGAACGTTTATATCAAAAAAGAGTTGTTTTTATATACGGTCATTGTTTGCTCTAACCAGAGCACTCCACAGGGGGGGCTGAAACCAGGTTTTCGATCAAATGCTGCCATTTGTAGTCAAACGTCGCCAACAGTTGCTCTCGTCCAATGAAATCGCTGCATTTTGCAAGTCAGTATGCATAATTGAATTACATATATTCATATGCGGAGCTTGGCTTACATAATGCAGCGATTTCATTGGACGAGAGCAACTTTTGGCGACGTTTGTCTACACATGGCAGCGTTTGATCGAAAACCTGGTTTCAGCTCCCCCTGTGACTCTCGCTTGCAGTAGCGCGCGACCGCCGAAGGCGGCAAATATATTCTACTTGCGTGAAACAAGCGCGTCACGCAGTACGCGTATACACATAGCTATGTGAAGGTCATTGTGACAATTAGATTATGTGTATATATATATTGTTTGGATAATTTATATAAAAAGAGTATGTATTGTCAAATCTTTTATTTGGTAAATAATCAATGTTGGTGGTGGGAAGTATTTATTGCATGTTGTATATTTTTACATAGTGCGATGATATTTTGTAGACATTTGTCATGAAGATGTGATGTCATCAATCTTATTTTACTTTACTTTACTTTAAAAGTCATATGTATTGTATACTTACCTGGGGACCTCAGGCGATCATGTTCATAATTAACAATAGAGATTAGGCGAAATGGCAGGCTGAGCGCGGCCCAGTAAATTGTATACTAGTTTAAACATAATTTACTGGGCGGCGCGCTCAGCCTGTCATTCCGCCGAATCTTAATTATTGTTTATGAACATAATAGCCTGGAGGTAAAACATGATATAATTAAAATTAAATATCATTCACGACTGCAATGATTCCAGAAAATTGTTTCACTGCTGTTATATATATTAGCCAGTTTATAGTATACACGGTCTCAGAATAGAAGATAATAATTGGGCTCTCTTCTTCTGCAACCGTGTTTCATCGGTGGTCCGACAAGTTTTTGTTGTGAAGTAGGGTTGAGGAATAGATCACAAATTGTTTTTAACTAATGTGGAAAAAGTGTCAAACAGTATATATACAATAAAGTAATTCAAGTGTTGCAATTGGCAGAGCACAATACAGAGGTAACGGAAATTGTCCATCGCTACCAATATTATATAATATGAAATATCAACAATCAGATATATACACATCTACTCCATCATAGGGGCAGGGATGAGGTTATAAGAGACTTCTGATAGTGGTGTCTCATATAGATCACAAATAAATAAAAACACGTTTATATCAAAAGAATATGGATTGTTAAATCTTGGTCTTGACCAAAGTTATGAATAAACCTTGTATCGTGAAAAAATGTCAAACAGTATATATACAATAAATTAAATCAAGTGATGCAATTGGCAGAGCACAATCGTAAATCCTGAGCAATAGATATCATCTATCCCTCGTAGCTCTTCTCCTCAGGTATCAGGTTGAAGGAGACATTGGATATAGGGGCAGTCCATGCCTTCTTTGCCTTTCCACGTACACCTCTAACTGCTACTAGCACACTCCTCATTATATCCATGCTCAGGCGTGTCCTGATGTTACACATCACCTGGCTGTAGTCCTCCTTTGTCTTGGTGGCTATCAACACAGCAAGTCTCCTTATGAAACGCTTGGCCTCCGGTGCCATTCCTCCTGTAGTGGTAAATACAAGGGGGACGAATGACCCTTTCTCCAATTGTAGCACTCGGTTCATGTACTGGTTCTTTTTCTCATTCTCGTGCAGAGTGTAGAGCTGTGGCATGGTCTTTCCTTGATATGTAGGCGATTTAGGATTGAAAATGCGCACATCAAAGAGTCCTCTCAAACCTTGTATCGTAGAAGGGCATGTTTTATTTACACTATGCATTTGGATGGAAAATTAGCATGCAAGGATGAACTAACCTCTAAATATGAACCTATAAAATATCAACTACTAGAAACCCGTCGCTAGTCGAAAGCTTTGTTCGAGGAAATTTTAAGCATCAGTTATGTTTTAATTTCTCTTCATCATATAGCCCCAAAACGATACTTTTTACCGCATCAAAAAATTTCAATCACAACCAAAGTTATAAATATATATAGGTATATAGCGTCATGAGGGTAAATGTGAGCTAGTTGTGAAATTCTGATATTTCAATCGAGAATGACAGTCAATTGAATTATTGCCAGGCAATTAAAATGTTTAACTGCGCAAAGTTATTTGCGTAATTAGAAAACAACAATATTTTTGTTGATTGTGTGTGCGCGGCGTCATGTCAGCATTGTGTGTAGCTCTAGCGAATTTAGTATCGAAAAAAAAGTATCGATACTTTTTACTGCATCAAAATATTGCAATCACAAACAAAGTTATAACAAGTCATAGCGTGAGCGTAAATGTGAGCTAGTTTTGAAATTATGACGTATCATATAGCATAACAACGCCCGTTGTTAATCTGTGGTTGCTCGCGCACGTGCATTTTTATCGTTGCTACGCAACAGCGCAGTAAACCTTTGCTTAAATAATGCCATTATTCTAACGATTATTTAACCTCACTTCCGACGTTAATTATAAAAAATCTAAAGCCTAAATCAAAATTCTAAGAATGCTATAGCCTATTCCTATCCTTTTTCTACAACCCTGCTAAAAATGGCGAGGTTTCAACTCCATTTGCGAGCTGGGTTTGGCATCACCAGAGGGTCATTTTGAGGTCGATTTTCGGTGTTTTTTCTTCTATGTCCCCGTTGCCGGGGAAATTTCGTCAAGTTTAAAATATAATATAGATATCATGCAACTAAAGCTCCGGAATAAATAAATACATAGATACATCTGGATGCATATGGCCTGTTCTTATTAATACACTGTAGACCCCAGGGGTTCTTTGAAGCCCTAACGTACATGCAACTTGGTCCTTTTACCAGCTACATTTAAGATGGTCCTGCCAGCTCTGCAACCAACTGTTTAAAAATTAGACAGCTCCTGCTAGAATTTTAAATTTTAAGTTATAGATCAATCCTAGACTGAATTTTATAATTTAAAAATACTCTTTTACCCTTACTATGTTGAGAAAAGACAATTTTTTTTGAGAAAAGACGAGATTGTTGTTGATTCAATTATTGTTGTTGATTCAATTATTGTTTCAATTATGTAACTGTATAGAATTATCATTATCATTAACTATGATGTGGTGGCATTTCATACTTAACTAAAATTTATCTTTGAACTATTAGATTATTTGTTACAACAAAATTATAGTTTAAGACATCCATTTTGCTGTGTGTTTCCAGTATTAGTTTATGATATCATGTATCGATTGAATAAATGGTAATAAATTTAACTTTTGTTTTATTTCATATTTAAATTGTTGAATATTCATTTATGTTGCAAAATTGTATAATTTAATAATTATTATTATCCAGTATTCCGAGAATCTATGGCAGATGCTACACAGTCTAGCAAAGAGAGGGTACGCAAGTTTGTGATATTCTTCACATTTTTCCTCATCATCTTCACTGCTGCCGTCCAAGTATTTCTAGTCCAGAGAGAGATAGGTTTGTTTTGTAAAGAAGTTATCCTTGTTCTGAATATGAGATGGATCGGGAGCCTCATTACATGATGTTGTTTAAAAGAGGAGAGTAACATCTACCAGTTTTGTTTTTTAAACTTTGGCTTTGGAGATATTCTTCTCTTTTGTTTCAATCAATTTGTTTGTCAGGTTACATCGGGCTGTTTCTTCCTCCAACATTGGTTTTTGTGTCGATGACAGTGATTAACTATTGGAAATGTGTTAAGGTTGACAGCTCTGCAAAATCTGCTGGGAAAGCCCCCAGCATTCAAACAGATGGCTGGAGATATTGCCCTTACAGTGGTTGTTCTGGTGAGATCCAGTAGATTAAATTATTGCAGTTTTTGATAGTCAACAAAACTCTTAAACAAAACTTAAAATTTCAATCAAACTGAAAATCATTTAATAACATTTCAAACTGTTATTTTACGTATTACACTGCATGGTATAATTTTCAACTTCAATTAACAGTTTTTCTTCAAATTTAGGTAGTGTGCCTATCAATTCGAGGCATTGCCATCAATGTGATATTTGTATTATACAAAGAGATCACCACTGCCACTTTGTGGCCAAATGTATTGGCCAAAACAGTCTCCCTTTCTTCATGGTGAGTATTTAACTATTATTAATACGTAAATCATTATTATTGTGTAAATCTACAGTCCCAGCCGTGTTTAAAAATGTGAGAAAATAGAAGTCAAGATTGAGATTAGTTGATCATCAGATGCATAGTATCTCCGTTATAGTTCGAAGTTTTATTTGTGTCCACCCATGTGCAAATTAGATTCAAGAAAAAACATTATACTTCACAGGTTCTTATTACATCAATGTTTGGACTGACCTTGACCTACTGTAGCGCTAATCTGATCTACATCACTACACATGAGACTCCTGGAACTCTGCTCCTGACTGTGGTTGCTCCTATTCAGGTATTCACAATTGAGTTTAAATGAAAAGCCTATACAATATTTTCTTGATTTTAACAGCTGAGAGATCTCCCTATAAATTAAATTTAGGTAATATTACTATGACTTATTTGAAAGATTTTCTTTACAGGTGCTATGGTACTTTCTTGGATATGTATCCTTGTCTCATTGCCTAATATCTCTCAATATAGTGATATCCTTTACTGCCTTTATTGGTTCAATCATACTGAACTACCATGAGTATAACGTGAGTGGCACTTTTCTATTTACAGTTGATTACATTTGTTCAATAAATTTCTCTAAAATTTAGTAGACATGATCGTTATTGTGCTTTAGGTATACAATATTTCAAAGATTCAAAAAAATCAAAATCTGACCTCTTAATCCTCTCAGTTGCTATTCCACAACAAACCATACCTGACCAAATCTATGCCCATCGCTAGCAGTGGTGTTCTAAAGATGTCGAAATTGGATAGAATTAGAGAGGTATGATAATAATATGGTCATCATTTTGTGTCATTTTGAGTTCAACTTGTTTTGTCGACTGTTATTTTTAAATTCTGCTTAATTTTTAGAGCGTTGGCAAATGGCAACCCATTTGGTTTCATGATCTTAAATAATTTACAGGTATTTGGAAAGAAATGGTACAAGTTCTATGTAGATCCAACCCATCAGTCAACTGTGCAAAAACAGTATGGAGTGACTAAAGTTATGTAAAGAATAAAAAAGTCTACAGTAGTTTGACTTAGATGAGCAGATAAATCAAGATTGTAGACAATCATGGCTCATGCCTTAAATAAGGCCAAAAATGAACAAATGTTTAGGGCATCATTGTCATATTGTGATCTTAGCAACCCGACTGCCAATCTTTCAACCGCAACCATTAGCTATATATCAAAGATATGTTGCAACAAAATATAATTATTTTAAGTATACAATTGATTATCAGACTTTTGTTTTGATTATTTAAATAATTTGTATAATATTTGATCATGCTTTATATTCAGTGGTTTGACCTTGAAAAAGGTTAAAATTTACCAAAACAAATTGTAATGTTTTTCGTCATTATATTTTTATAACGTGGTGACACATGAATATTGAATATTTGTTTTGTTGTATTGGTAGTTTCTCTTTCTTTTGAAGTTTCTATAATGTATCATCCCGTTTTTACTTTATTGCATCAATTATTATATTAAGCACAAACGGTTACATTACTGAGATGAAATTGTATTAGCCTACTATACTCTAAGTCTAAGCTATAAAATCGTCTTCACGATTCTAAATCGTTTTTAATAGCTAGGTTGACGTATAATGGCAGAATCGTCAGCCGGGTATGAAAATGTACGAGAAACAGCTATTAAACTAAAAGAACTAGGGAATCTTGCTTTTAAAGAAAAACAGTACGAAGAAGCGGTTGCCTACTATGAAGTGGCTATATTGCTTCATCCTGCTGAAATATCTTTTTATAACAATATTGCAGGTAATTTGTCTCTTGTTGTTTTGGAAGTGCAGTACAATATTTGTATACATTTATTTATTTGAATACATTTTCTTGTTAAAAACTCAAAATCAATATAATAGTGATATTTATTTTACTAGATAGTGAATATTTACTGAAATTTCAGCTGTGCACATGGAAGAAAATGAGTACGGCTTGGCAAAAGAAGTATGTGACGAAGCTTTCAAAGTTGGTGAATCTCACGGAGCAAGTAGCTTGGATTTATCAAAGTATGTCCTTATCACGTGTATAGAAATAAAACTATTTGACTCACATAATTGAATATTCTTCACAAATGTATCTACATCGGCCTCAGTTATCATTCTACTAGATAAATAAGAAGTTACAAGTTAAATAACTTGTCTTATTATATGCATATAATAACTTAATAAGTGCATTATTTATTGTTTAAGGTCCATAGCCCGGATGGGTAGAGCACTCTGGAAACTTGGAGATGTATACAATGCTATGTGGAAGTATGAAGAAGCTCTGTCTTTGAACAGTAAATTGAGTGTCGGAAACGATCTTGAGAAGGTGATTATAAACTGTAAAATATCAAATAAGGGTAAACTATAGTGCTAAATTCACCTGAAAAAACGATGTTATCCGAAACAAGAATTAAAGTGATGTTTAATTCGAATTGTGATACAGTAAATTAGATTAAAAAGTTGTTCATGTTTGCCAAATTTGTACTAGTTAAAAAGTAAAGTTGTACAGAGTGTTCATAATATGAATCTTGTCTAGAAGATTACATTACATATTTGTCAGGTTTATGAAGATGTGAAGTTATCTCTCTCACGATCAGGTATAGTATTTAGTACTTAATTTTTACCATTTTTAACTTTCTGAAACTGAGAATCAACCTAGGCAGTTAAAATTTAAGTGTTCAAAATGACTAGAAATGCATTTATGATGACGTTATCAAATTTCACCATTCTCAAATCAATATATGATTACTTTTCAGATGAACTCTCGGTAGAAAAGATTTTGGCAGCAGGTGATATGATTAAGAGGATTTACATCAACCGTGTCAGAAAATATGAAACTGTGAATGAGAATCCGATTTTGTTTCCTAGAGCGCCACGGCAGATATTTGTTGATGCCTTCTCTGAAGCAGATAACTCCCATTCCAGCATAAAGCATCAAGAAGCCCAGCTTCAATATGATGCAGAGGTCGACCTTTACAGGGCACTCGAGAGCTTAGTACTCAGAAAAAAGATAACTGTTCTACACAGTTTCAAGTTCTCAAAAAGCCAAGCTTGTTTGTTCTCAGGGTCTAAAGAATCGTCAGAGGGGGAACAGGACTTTGTTGTTATTGTTAGAGATTTTGCCATCGTCCTTATTGAAGTAAAGTCACCCTTAAATATCACAAACAACTCATTTAAACGAAATGTGAAAGGATCACGTAAGCAACTGGGCAGAGCAAAAAGCTTAATCACGAATATCTGCAACATCTGGAACATCAATCAGTCAACTGTCGATGTCTTGGAATACACAGCATTTCCAAAGGCGAATAAGGAAACTACAAGTAAATTTCCAGCATACAATGATTTTGGAAAAACTGGGATTATTTATCAAGATGATGTCCAGAACTTTGGTGCTTGGTGGGAAAATAACATCACAGCCTACCTGACTAAAGTCTGCATGGAAAGAGAAAAGAATTCAAAAGATATTCATCATTTAACATCTACTCTAGTTGGCATTTGGTGCATAAACCAGAATGATTCATGTGATATTGAAATCTGCAGTTTGGGACATTCTGTGAAAGAAATTGATGATGCAGTTCGCTCAGCAGAAATCACACAAAATAAACTGAAGCCAGTTTCCGAAGGTGTCAAAAAAAGTCCAAAAATCTTTCAAACTTATTTTGATGTTGACTGTTTAACTAACAAACAAGAAGCAATCTTTGAAGATGATAAGGTTACTCAGTTCATCATGGGACCAGCTGGCTCGGGAAAGACATTGTTATTGTTAGGGAAGATGATCCAAGTGTTCCAAAGACAGGAACCGAATAACTCCCCAAGAAGAAAATTCGTATTAATTACTGGATCATTTGGGCTTGATGATATTGCTGAGCTGTTTAAAAAAGCTGGAATGGAAACAAGTAGATCTCACGTTGTTTTAGGTGGTGAAAAACATGATTTACGGAAAATGCGATTACAGAGAAATGACGATTTTTACCAAGATTTTCATAGCACTCAGAGCAATTTTGACGCTTTTATTTTGCACCATTCTGCACTGAAGGACACAACGTTTTGGCCACAGTCGAACGAAACTGAGGATTCTATCAAGCATGGTTTATTGAGTGTCATCTGTAATAAAGATAACCACATTTTCATAGATGATTTTCATAATGCAGTGGATACCATATTTAGCTCAATTACAATGAAACCACCTTTCATGTTCATTAAAGATTATTCAAAGACGTTGTTGCATGAACTTATCACTGCCATGAGAAGAAGATACACAAGAAATTCAAATGACACCAATCCTCCTTATTTGTGGCTAATTTATGATCATTCTCAAATGACCTCCTGCATCCTCAAGGACGATGATTTTGGTTTTGATAGCACACGTCACCGTCGAATGATCACATATGTGAGTGATTTTGAAAATGCATTGAAAGATGAGATTATTTGTGACCAAAGCAGCCGCAATACTATGTTTAGGTACCTCGCCAGAAACCTTCGAAATACCGTGGACATTAGTAGATGTATTGAAAATGTATTCAAGGATCAGGCTGAGCACTATTGTCTTTCTAACGTGCCATTGAAGGAAATGTTTGATCATTTGGAAATATCCAACATATTTCAAGAAACCGGTCATCTCATTCATGGACCAAAACCAGCATTCTTCCTTGTAAAAAACAGTGATTACCAAGAGCAAACTGTGTTAGCTATATTAATTGATGTTCTTGAAGAGCTTCTGAAAGATAAAAAGATTCGTCAAAGCGATATAGCTATAATATTAGATTCATTTGGTTGCATATTATTAAACGCTGATAATGAGGTTATGGATAAAATGTTTTCATTGAAATGTTATGGTTTTGGCGGAGTTACTGTTAGAGTAACTGAAGACAAGGACACTATACAAGCTACTGAGTGGAAAGCAGTTATTCACATCACTGATCTATATGAATTTAAGGAATTTTTCCCGCCCTCAGAACCGAGATATTTAACGGATATTCCACAAATAATGAAGTGCAATTCATCCTCTTCAGATGCTTACAAGAATGCAAAATCGATTTTTGAAACCTACATTAAATTGAGTTTTTCCCCTCTTTACGTGGTTATGAGTAGGGCAAGAGTGTATCATGTTGTTATTGGTAAACTTGGCAATTTCGAACGTAAAAAACATTGTGAGGTAATGAGATGTTTGCATAAAATATATGGAGATCCGCCTCTTTCTATTTCTGAGATAGATAGGTATCGATGTTTTCCCAATAATGTTTCTGTAACTCCGCTAGTTAATGAAGAGGGAGAATACGCTTTATATAAAAAGAAGAATTTTGTTTACAAAACGGTGCCTGATTGTCAGGAGCATGCTTCTTTACCAAGATATTAGAATAATTTTGATTGAAAGTAAGGCCCGGATTGTATTTAATGGACTAATTTATTGTCTACATCATAATCAGTTTAAAATAAAAACCCCAGTGGAGCAATGGCCATGGGCACTCCTGAAAACATAACTACTAGAAAATGTATCAAAACTAAAAATAGAAAAATGAAGTTTATAAATTATGTACTTTTATTGTACTCATGGTACATAAATCTTAATCAATAAGTTTTTGTGTCTTGCAATTCCGTTACTTTGATGAATTATTATTAACTTGTTTTTTTTATATAACTTTAAATACGATATTTGATTTCGATTTTAAACTTTAATCTTTTACGTTTTTGGTTAACCCAATTCGCATTGTTTATTATGTACATATGTTTTAGATTATTCATCTAATGATTAATGAAATGTTTAGTTTTTCAAAATTTTAGTTGAAGAATGAAGAATAGTCAAGCGTTTCCAATTGTACCCTACCATATTATTCAAATTATTGATTTAAATTAGATTATTCACATTTAAAAGGTATACTGCTACTACTTCTAGGTCGGAACTAAGTCCGATCTACGCCAGATAACCCCTTCCATACATCAGGGTTTGCAGTTCCTCTTTAGAGTTTGTCCCAACTTCCCTCAGTAACATGGACAAATAGCTTTGTCTTGGTCGGCCTTGCTTTGGTTCCCATTTAGCATAAATTACTGGTCAGTAGCTCAGGATGTCTGATGCAGTGTCCCGCCATTTTTAATCTCCTGCTTCGTAACTTTTTTTTGGCAGCCTAGGTAGGCTACCAATTACCATGTAAAGTAACATTGTTAACCTTGTCTTTCCATGAGATACACAGCACCATACGTCTTCAGCTTATTATCTTGATTTTTACATGGAATTCTTAAAAAGGACAATTACCAAACTATTCGACTGTGAAAAAAGCAAAAATGTAATTCAACACAGTGAGCTCATATCAATAGATAAAATATTCAGATTAAAAATTACTTAATATACCACTCTGTACTAGGAATATGGCCGGAGCAGGGTGGAGTAAAGGAAACATAAACCATAGTAAAGAGATGTCAGTGCAACTAGGTAACTTGTTAAAGGACATGGAGCTGGAGGGTGATATCACCATCAACTGTGGCAACCGCACCTTCTCCTGCCACCGTGCTATCCTGGGTGCTAGATCCACCTACTTTAAAGCTTTGTTGTACGGAGGAATGAAGGAATCAAGACCTGGTGCTGTTATCGATATAAAGGATGTTAACCCTGACACTTTTGAGATCTTACTGGAATATCTTTACTCTTCAAACGTTAAATTGTCGAGGATCCCCACCACTCAAGTACTTCAACTACTGGAACTTGCTCACAGATACACCTTATCCCTCCTCGAGAAGGACATATGTTCTTACCTCAGGACTCAGATCAACGCCTGTAATGCAGCTGAGATCTGCCAACTTGCTACATTCTACAACCTGACTCAGCTCCAAGAACACTGTCTCACCCTCATAGACCTGAACCCTAGTGACTCTCTAACAAACCTGGAGGATTTATCCTATCACACTCTCCACGCTATTATCTGCAGAGACAGTTACCCGCTCCCAGAGATGGAGATTTTCAGTGTTGTGCAGTCCTGGCTAAATGATCCGGTACACAATGTGTCCGAGATGGAGAAGCGGTTTCTCTTGAATGACATCAGACTACCTCTCATCTCTCCTGAGGATCTCTTCCTTAAGATAATCCCAACTGAGCTGTTTTCCAGTGAGAAGATTCTGGATGCTCTGAGGGATCAGACTCTGCTTAATCACGTGGACCTTCCACACAGAGGTAACATTATACAGCAGGAGCCAATAAATTTATATTGTGATTTGTGACCCATTGCTAAATTGTGATCAGTAAGATTTTGTAAGTTATTTTAGGCCCAATCCTAACCTTCAAATACTATTCAAACATTCAATTTGCGAAGAAAAATGTTCCAATAGATGATAAAAATCAATGAAGTATATTATATCTTCTAATAGGATCTAATTGATAATAACCTGATAAATAAATAATGACCAGGTATAAGTTCGAGTTCAGGAGAGCTTGTGAACAGCAATGTGATGGGGGTGGTATCAGGGGAGAACGGTGAGGTTCTCTTCACACAGTTCGAGTGTAAAGCTGACAGACCTCATTGTAGACACATCATAGGGGACGAGGCAGGCATCTCCGTTAAACTCTACTATCCTCACATTGTTAACAAGATATCCTTCCTGCTGCCTTGTAATAAGGAGTTTAACAGACTCTACACATATCAGGTGAGTGTGTAAATTTAGATTCTCATGACTAATTGCTATTAACTCATGTTCAATGTTCATCTTGCCTACTGAAGCTTTTCTATGTAAATGAGAAGAAGAAAATGTCTTCTTATATTTTACATATTATCATGTACAGCTCATCCTATCGTGTTAGGTCCTTTAAAGGTGCAACTTGTTTTATGGACAGCATTGATTTAAAGCCCAGTTTACTTATTAGTGCTTTATATTAGTGCTACCACGTTTTCGTCAATCTGACAAAATATTTAATTGCAGGTATCTATCTCAATAAACGGAAAGTCGTGGAAAGTGGTAGCTAACTATTCAGATTACCACTGTCACGGTTGGCAGCACATAGTTCTACCCACCCCCAAATCTCTAGCCTACATCAAAATACAGGGGTTGTGGTGCTCTACGAGCAAGACCTTCTGTATCGAACAAATGAGCGTCAAGTTAGTCATAACAATAAATAATCATCCTTCTTATTAATGGCGACTCTGAACGTTATACTTTAAAGTTATGTTCCACGACTTCGCACAATTATAATTATCTTTACTAATTACGAAGCCCCGTTTTAACGTTGTCCCAGCACATGTTCCTCACATCCCACCTATCAAATAACAGGTTAGACGGGACACTGGACACAACATCTGTTGACTGTAACGGAGTGATAGAGCCCAGTGATAACGTAGCAACAATAGAGCGGGGTGCTATAGTAGTTGAAGGGGTCTCCAGACACCGGTCTACGTTGCTGAACGGTAACACTACCCAGTACGATTGGGAGGATGGCTACACTTGTCATCAGGTATTTGGTGGGGGGTTTTGCTGCTCATTTTAGATCTGCAGATGCGATATTTTGTTGATTGGGTTTTCTAAAGAAATTATTTGGCAGGTGTATCTTGCTTCTTTTGTTAGATAATATTTTAAATGTAATCTCAGGTCGGTTCCGGAGCGATAATAGTCCTGTTAAACCAACCCTACCTTGTCTCAACAATATCCATGTTATTGTGGGACTGTGATACAAGGTGCTACAGTTATATCGTCTCCGTTAGCAAGGTTTGTGGTGTAATTTGTGCCTTGAGGCCTTTTAAGTGAACACTTAAAAGCTCATTACTTCATTAAATCAATAAACTTAATTCTGAACTTTGAATTTAGTTTAAAATCTTGGTTAGAACTTGAAAGCGATCCACATTACAGGACAGGAGAGAGTGGATAGATGTGGCTGATAGAAGTGGGGAGCAGTGTAGTTCCTGGCAACACCTGACATTTCCAACCCTCCCTGTTTCTTATATCAGGGTCATCGGTACTCAGGTCACTAAATCACTTTCGCTATTTTACTTTATGTGCTTGTTTGCTGCCTTATGGATTAAAAATGTACGTTTAATTTCAACCAAAAAGTGACCCTCCGTCGAGACCAATTTTAGCTCTCCGACAGATAAAGATACGCGTTTGCCGCACATTAACTTTACTTTTATGTTTAGTCATACTCTATAATTATTAGGTATTTTGAGGTTGTTGGATCCTATCAGACCCATAGTTAACTGGGTAATGTCATTAAATAATTGACCAGCTGGTGATTGAAGCTGTGAAAACTATTACTAATTATGTGGACTGCAGCTGTAATGAGATGACTAAATGAGGTGTTATTGGAGTACTTTGTAACGGGAACTTTATTCTTTTGAGAGGTGCCTGTCAAGCAGATACATGACAGGCTTATAAACAGTTACCATGATGTGGCAACCATTAGAGTTAGGAATTTTATCGGATTGAAGTATGGTCTTCAAGCGAGAATATTTGATTCTTCACATTAATATCAAATAACCGATGTTATGTTGACTTATACACACATTAGTAATACATAAAGGTCTGTTTATTAAACTGATCTAACACTGAGAATATATAGTGAGCTTCTTTGTTCGCTAGACTCCTGCACATAAAAAGCTAAAACTAACATTTCCCTCCCCTCAGAATTCCGCAAACTCAGTTTTCCACCTGGTCCACATAGAACTGCCTTCTGAAGCGGACAAATCCAGCAGCTCTGCTAACTCATTCTCTGACAGAAGCTCTGTTAAGAGCGAGATCAGTGATACTTGAGGAACATTCAAAGTGCGAGTGAGCATGGGGAATGGGAACATTTTATTGGTTGGTTTGTTTTAAATTCACGTAGTGGTAAAATGGCTTGTAAGTGATTATTTGGGATTCTACTCGCCCTTCTATGCTATGTACACATTTGCAAAGGTTGTTCAAGTGCAAAACTTCGCTCACTTTATACCCTAAACATTATCTGCTGTTATCTGCTATATTAGACCATTCCTGAGTTTGATCTTGCTACTGTGTCCATTTTGGAGAGATTTGGAGTTAGAGCTGGTTTGTTGTTTTAAACGTGGTATGAGAACTGAAATTGAGCACTGAATTCTTCATACCCAATTTCCATAGAACTAGTTTTCACGCATAGTTGGTTCATAATATAATCATTTAAAGACTAAACATTCCTACTATTTTGATGTATGTGCAATATGAAATATGAGGTGAATTGTAAGATATGTTACAGCTTGCATGACTTCGTTAAATACCGAAGTTTTATAAGATATTCTGCATTCGAACGCTAAAATATGACGGAAATTTTGAAAACATTTCTTATTGATAGTTTTTGTTGTTGTTAATTTATTGCACTGTTTTTGAAAGTTTTATCGGAAAGAAAAAATATTTGACGATTATAATTTTTGTACGAATATTTGTAAAAGAAGGTAGTGTTAAATGCCGTATAGAATTGAGTTGTAATTGTAAATAATTCTTTAAAGATTTGTCGCTCCAAAAATATGGAATTGCTGATTATAGACTATTTTACCATTAAAATGTGTGTCTTATTGACTAATTGACAGACTGTAGTGCGACAGAACACGTTAAAAATACAATTAAAATGGCTAATAACCGGCTGTTAGCCGGCTATTAGAGGGATGTTAGAGGGCTGTTAGCTGGCTAATAGCCGGCTGGCATTGTACCTATTAGCCAAAACTAATATTGTCACCTTTTTGCTTTTTTGGTCGGGATTCCCGAATCCCGGGATTGAATATTTTGATCGGGATTGACTTCACTATCATAGACCCCTAAAATCCTAAATCAACCTGAACTAGTTATTCAGCAAGACCTTGTTACAGTCATTGGCCAATAAAAGTGATACAAAATATAAAATAATTAGTATTTAAATAACAACGTCCCTCTAGTTATGTCTGACGTGATAAAGTTCAAACTCCGTAAAGATGAACTTGTGATGTTAGCTCTCGTCTATCTCTACTTGATGATATGCCCCTTTAACAAGGTTATAATTGTTAATAATTTCTCGTACAAAAGAAACAGATCTTCACATGTCTAAAATAAACCTATTCTAATGTTTTACTACTCGATGCTTTGCTGTCGAGAGAATGACCTATTCCACGTTTAGTTGATAATCACTAGTCATTAATCACTAATCATTAGTCATTAGTCACAAGTTACTAGTTATTAGTCACTAGTTACTAGTCATTAGTCAGCCTCTCTCCTCCTTCCTCATTAGTATTCTTCCCCAATGTAGGTAGAAGAGAGCTTCAACACGCAAGCGATTCACGACATGATTTACAACACTAAATACCTCTACTATTACGACCACATCTCATTTCCAGGTTTGGGCACTGTTAAACAGATAATCCATCTCTTGACTTGTGTTTCGAAAATATTGTGCTTAAATTAACCTTAGCTATACATGGGGCAGTATTCAATCAGTCTAGGTCCATCACTAAAAGGATTTTAAACCACGAAAGGCGAAAAAGTAAATAAACAGAGTTTTAAAAACTATCCCTCATTCCTCAGGATCAGTTCCCCGCACGTTTGTGGGCGCCCTAACAGTAGCGCTACCCACCGGCGCTGTCTCCTACCTGTCACAATGCCCTAAAGCTATCACCTACTCCCTGGCTAGGATGGTTCTGGGGCTGTACGTGGTCTGGAGTTTTAGTACGTTCAGAAGGGCTGTCAAGAAGATATTCGGGGGCACTGTCAGTAATATTCAGTTATTGAGCTTCGATTAAACTTTTCAAAAATTAGTATTTATTGCTTATTGTATTATGCAGGCCGGGTCAGAATCAACTGTATGTCGAGGTAGTCGACATACCGAATAGAATTTTTCCATCCAATAATGAACCAAATTGTTAGTCTCGACCTTCAGTTAGTTCTTGTCCACCCTGTAATACCATCTTCAAGGGTTGATGGTGAAATTGGAGGTGAAAGTTGTGTCATGAATATGATACGATGTTTTCCTTTCAGACAGCCAGCTGCTTGATGTGGATCACGTGCTCACAGTTCCACTTTATGTTCTACGCTTCTAGAACCCTCCCTAATACCTTTGGGATGTGTTGTCTCCTGTTGTCTACTGCGTACTGGATCAACAAAGAATGGGAATCTTTCCTTTGGTACATTATTACTTTGGTTACTTTCTACTTAATGTAATAATGTATTTGAGACACAGATGCAGTGAAACTTTGAAGTCCGAACTAGGTTATTATCTTCAAACAAGTCAAATGTTTGCTGGGAATAAGTTGGTTTTACAGTATTATTGTTATGATAATCGTCACCCCACCGCTCAGCATAAAAATTTGGAATTTAGTTGATCCAGTTTTATTTTGGTCTAGGCAAAGCTGGTTTGGAGTTTCAATGTATAAATCTCTTTATTGGCTAATGTATCAAAGATTTGAATTGAGGTGTAAATACTCATGATTCGTGAGAACGGGCTAAATTTCTCAATACACAATACACATGTTCTTCTTCTGTAGGTTTATCATTACGGTAGACTAAATCACTCAGCGATCGTAAAACATATTGTACACTAAAAGATATAACTTATACAACTAGTACAAAACTTACATTATTATATTATTATATTATATTATATAACTTACATTATTATATTATATTGATCGCAGTTTTACAATTTCTACTTCAAGAAAGTTGTACCCTTGTTGGTCAGCTACTCAAAATAACGATTTTACCACATTTGCAGGTGGGCAGGATTGGGAGTATTGGTATTCAGATCAGAGCTAGTCATTTTACTGGGGCCCATGTTGCTATTGGAGATGGTTTCCGGCAAACTTAAAATCAACGAGGTTTGTTTTTATAACAACTTTATTTCGGTCCGTAGTACTTCTTAAAATATAGGTTTCTGTAGAAATGGAAGCATTACGTTAATTAAGCAAATTTCCCACCATTCTTTGTAACCTGAGCGCGAGCTTTTGAATGTTCTAGCATAATGTTATTTGTGATATCGCGTTTTTCATATCAACTGACTGGGCCACCTGGTCAGTAGTTGATTCATTCAGCACTACTAAAGTACTAATATGTGGGGATACAACATTACATCATCACAACATTACATCATCACAACACTACATCATCACAACACTACATCATCACAACACTACATCATCATCCTAAAATATCATTATAAATACGGGTTCGTACTTCGTCCTTCAAGAAAATATTATTATTCACTGTGACTTTTGAAGATTTCCAAACTCGCTCGTTTGAATTGTCTCATCTGAAAAAGTCACTAAAAATTCACAATATTACAGTCCTTTAGTACTTATAATATAGGGGGGGGTGTCACGTCCGTCTATGTCCGCTTGTCTCATAGAATCCAAAAAGGACAGGACATAGGCGGACATAGGCGGACATAGGCGGACATAGGCGGACATAGACGGACATAGGCGGACATAGACGGACATAGGCGGACATTGGCGGACATAGACGGACATATACGGACACCTAAATTGCTAAATAAAATGTTCAATTTTTGCTGTTATATCATGTTTTTTGTCCGTTCGGTACCCTATATTTTCAAAACGGACAAAAAATAGAGCGGACAAAAACAGACAAAAATGGACAAAAACGGACTAAAATGGAAATAACATTTAGATGCTTCCTCTAATGCTACTCTTCCTCCTCCTCCTCCTAGGTCTTCCTGATCTTCCTCAGTCCTCTTCCTCCTCCCCTCCTCAGTCCTCCTCCTACTCCTACTCCTCCTCCTCGTCCTCAGTTCTCCTCATCAGTCCTCAACAGTCCTCCTCCTCCCCAGTCCTCCTCCTCCTCCTCCCCAGTCCTCCTCCTGGGTCCTCCTCCTGGGTCCTCCTACTCCTCTTCATCCTCCTCCTCTTCCTCCTCAGTCCTCAGTCCTCCTCAGTCCTCCTCCTCATCCTTCTCCTCAGTCCTCCATCCTCCTCCTCAGTCCTCCCCCAGTCCCCCTCCTCCTCCTCTTATTCAGTTCTCCTCCTCCTCCTTCTCCTCCTCAGTCCTCCTCCTTCTCAGTCCCCCTGAGTCCTCCTCCTCCTCCTCCTGAGTCCTCCTCCTCCTCCTCCTCTTCCCTCTCAGTCATCCTCCTCAGCCATCCTCCTCAGTCCTCCTTCTCCTGGGTCCTCCTCCTCCTCTTTATTCTCCTCCTCTTCCTCCTTGGTCCTCAGTCCTCCTCCTCAGTCCTCCTCATCCTTCTCATCAGTCCTCCTCCTCCTCAGTCCTCTCCCAGTCCCCCTCCTTCTCCTCCTCCTATTCAGTCCTCTTCCTCCTGGGTCCTCCTCCTCCTCTTTATCCTCCTCCTCTTCCTCCTTGGTCCTCAGTCCTCCTCCTCAGTCCTCCTCATCATCCTTCTCATCAGTCCTCCTCCTCCTCAGTCCTCTCCCAGTCCCCCTCCTTCTCCTCCTCCTATTCAGTCCTCCTCCTCCTCCTCCTCAGTTCTCCTCAGTCCTCCTCCTGAGTCCTCCTCCTCCTCTTCTTCCTGAGTCCTCCTCCTGAGTCCTCCTCCTCCTCCCTCTCAGTCATCCTCCTCATTCATCCTCCTCAGCCATCCTCCTCAGCCATCCTCCTCAGCCATCCTCCTCAGTACTCCTCAGTCCTCCTCCTTCTCAGTCATCGTCAGTCCTCCTCCTCAGTCCTCCTCAGTCCTCCTCCTCCTCCTGGGTCCTCCTCCTGGGTCTTCCTGATCCTCCCCAGTCCTCTTCCTCCTCCCCTTCTCAGTCCTCCTCCTACTCCTCCTCCTCGTCCTCAGTTGTCCTCATCAGTCCTCAACAGTCCTCCTCCTCCCCAGTCCTCCTCCTCCTCCTGGGGCCTTTTCCTGGGTCCTCCTCCTGGGTCCTCCTCCTCCTGGGTCCTCCTCCTTCTGGGTCCTCCTTCTCCTCCTCAGTCCTTCTCCTCCTCCTCCTCAGTTCTCTTCCTCCTCTTCCTCCTCCTCCTCCCTCTCAGTCATCCTCCTCGGCCATCCTCCTCAGCCATCCTCCTCAGTCCTCCTCCTTCTCAGTCCTCCTCCTGAGTCCTCCTCCTCCTCAGTAATCCTCCTCAGTTCTCCTCCTCCTCCTCCTAGGTCCTCCTTCTGGGTCCTCCTCCTCCTCCTCCTCCTGGGTCTTCCTGATCCTCCTCCTCCCTCTCAGTCATCCTCCTCAGTCCTCAGTCATCCTCCTCAGTCATCCTCCTCAGCCATCCTCCTCAGCCATCCTCCTCAGCCATCCTCCTCAGTGCTATTCAGTACTCAACAGTCCTCCACCTTCTCAGTCCTCCTCAGTCCTCCTCCTGAGTCCTCCTCCTCCTGAGTCATCCTCCTCAGTCCTCCTCCTCCTCCTGGGTCCTCCTCCTGGGTCCTCCTCCTGGGTCTTCCTGAGTCCTCTTCAGTCCTCTTCCTCCTGCCCTCCTCAGTTCTCCTCCTACTCCTCCTTCTCGTCCTCAGTCCTACTCATCAGTCCTCAACAGTCCTCCTCCTCCCCAGTCCTCCTCCTCCTCCTCCTCCTCCTCCTCCTCCTCCTGGGGCCTTTTCCTTGGTCCCTATATAATTTGATAAAATAAGTTAAAGCTATTAATAGCTTTAGTGTGATTAATAAGTTATATTCCCTATATTTCGTTAAATAGGTACTGTGCCTACTGTGTACACTGTGTAACTGTTTCAAAGATATGTTGACGACACAAATAGATCTGGATTTAGCGACCGGATTTGGTGACTGGATTTAATTAAATATTGAGAATATTTGTGAGATCTTTATTCTTTAGACCTCTTATATGTCCGCTAATGTCCACCAATGTCCGTCCGAGTCCGCCAATGTCCGTCCGGGTCCGCAAATGTCCGTCCGAGTCCGCCAATGTCCGTCCGAGTCCGCCAATGTCCGTCCGTGTCCGCCAATGTCCGTCCGTGTCCGCCAATGTCCCAAAAAACACGTCCGTTGTCTCATAGAATCCAAAAAGGACAGGACATAGGCGGACATAGACGGACGTGACACCCCCCCCCAATATATTGGCTATAATGTATTTGTTCGAGAACATCGACAAACATTCCTCATATTATATCTTGAAAAAGAGCTAACACCCGTCCAATTTAAATTGCCCCAATATGAACGGTGTATCTCAAGATATGTAGCGGAGGTTGCGTGTGGCGGATGTGGTTGCGCTGCAAGAAAATACACCTGATACTGTTCCACGTGGTAACCGGAGTTGGTCGTCTTGACGACGTAAGATGGGAATTTTAAAACCACGCCCAGGGTTTCCGGGCTATTTGATGGGTTGCGAGGATTGTTTGAAATTCTTGTTAGAAAACAGAAAGTCTGAAGCTGTTTTCTGCACTGACGGTTATTTTCGTGGTTACATTATTGTCATGGATAGTCCTATGTCCTTATGTGCTATTTGATAATCTACCGAGTGGCTATTACTGTCGATATTCGCTTGTTAAGGTGAATCTTGGCCTTTCTTTTCTAAGAAAAAAATACGATCATTTAAAAACTAATTTTTATAAAAGCTGCTTTACAGAAGCGAACACCCCTTTGATTCTTTGAGCTCTTCGTGAATGATTATTAATTTGAAGGCAAATATGGAGTCTGGACTGCTAAAGCAGGATTTTGAGATAAGATTCTATAACCTTATTAAGTTATTACATTTCCCAATAATTCATAACATCATCAAAGCTTCTGATATTCAATATTCATGCATATAATATAAGTGTATTGCTAATTAATTCACTATGTAATCCTACAATATCATGTTAAATATATCCGCAATTTACTGATAGAGCTGCAGACAAGCAAATTTGCTGGCCATCATCCAAAAATTGATTCATTGGCATTTTTACGTCAAATAAAGCTGCCAATTCCATTAATGCAGGTTTTAGAACCAGGAAATAGATTTCAGTATCACTTGTTACGGAGTAAAATTGAATCTATTTTAAGTATTACATAGCCCAAAGGTATGAATACTGTTTAGGAATGAAGGCTAATATGGATAGGATTCTCAAGTTTACTAATTGGCAGCCAATTTACTTCAGATGATGGACTCTGACTCTTTGATTCATTCTAACGGCTAGGCTGGCCTTGTAGGTCTCTTTTTTTTTTGTGTGAGAATAATTAATGACCTGAACCTCATTGAGTATAATATTTTAACTGTACGGTCAGCAGCTGTGTTTTGTTATCTTATGTGTCACGTGAGGCCATAATTATAATGTTATATAATATAAAGATATAACTTGTGTTTGAGGGTATTTACATTTTACGGGTTTGTTTGACTGTTTGAGTCCCTTGTACAGTTTTTAAGTCGTTATTTGAGCTGTATCTGTTCCAATTGAACCGTTATTTCGAGTAACCTAACCTAATAATTCACTTTCTCTCACTTTCTCTTTCACTTTCTCTCACTTTCTCTTTCAGCTGATAACACCAGGGCTCCAGACGGCCGCTCTAATCCTAGTAGCCTGCTGTTCAGTAGACAGCTACCTGTGGAGATACACGGTGTGGCCCGAAGCAATGGTGCTCTATTACAATACCTGGCTTAATAAGAGCAGTGACTGGGGCACTCTCCCTCTGCTATGGTAATCAGATAATTACATAATTACATGATTGAAGGATCATAATTATTATGTCGGTATCTGTACCTGGTTGCCCACATGCAGCCGTATCTTATCAATATTAAATTCTCTAGGGAGATGATCCACTAATGTGTCTAGTTCAGTTTACGTTTAGACTTGGTTATTGGTCTACAGAAATATCAAGATACTGTATCATGTACGCATAATATGAGTGTATAAAGTTTCAGTTTCATTGTGTATATTTGCATAGTAGAATGTATATTTTATTATAATATAATATGTTTAATAATAAATTGTGACCTCCCTCAGGTATTTCTACTCTGCACTGCCCCGCGCGATGTTGTTAGCACTCCCCCTATCAGTTGTTGGGTGTCTAACAGACCGGAGAGTAATGAACTTTGCCGCACCAGCGCTTCTTTTTGTAGCGCTTTACTCCTTGCTACCTCACAAAGAACTCAGGTTAATCACAAGGATATAGTTTTATAAGGGTCAAATATTCAAATACTTTGTGTAAATATTGAACTATTGCGAGGGTATCAGTTGTCATAACATTATCATGGTAACTTTCATTAAGTTTAAAACTTTAAGCAATCCTGCCTAGTATTCAGCGCTCACGCTGGAAAGTGGAAAATGATAAATTTCGGACCAGCAAACGGTTTTCGTTTAGCTATGTATAATAAAAATCAAATAATTAATTACTTATCAAACAATTAATTAACTAGTCCATTGTTCCCCCAGATTTGTCCTGTATGCTGTACCTCTACTGAACGTGGCTGCAGCCTATACGCTCTCTCAGCTCTGGAGTAAAGGACAACTTGCTAAGCTGGTTGTAGTGGGGGGCTTTGCTGGCCATCTCCTTTGTAAGTAGAGACTGGTTAACCATGGTTAATATCGGAGTTAGAGAGGAGATCCGATTAGAATATTATACACAAAAAAGTGACGGAGGGGGTTACTTATAGTCATAGATGACTCTATCTACATTGATTACTTCATTATATGGTAGCAGGAATTATTCATCGGAATGGGTATGTAATGTAATGGTACCACAACAAAATCTTTCTGGCTTGAAAAGTTGAAACATTGTCCAGTTATTTTCTGGTGCTCAACGTTTAATTCTGTCTAAGCGACAGCTGGACGGCTGTGGACATCTTGCTGAGTAGATATAACCATCTTTAGTTCTGCAGATCTATTATAGTGCTCCATTACCCTCTGCAGATCCTAGCCCACCAGTTAAATGTTAGTAATTCTAAGTGCTGGTATGACTAACCTGGTTAAGTGAGGTATGTGATATTGGCATGTTAAAGCTAGAGGCTAGAGGCGTTAAAACGCCTGTCGGTTGTTACTGTATTGTGTGTGTTATCTAATTGGGTAATTACATGGAACATTTGCACTTGTGTATAAAGATGAGACAAGTTGTTCTAGTTAGTAGTTGTTTCTGCAGGTCGTGTGTGACATGAGGCTGAAGTGACTTGTAATTACTCCTCTGACACGATAACTTTAATATGAGTAGTTGTATCTTGTCAGTGCTTGTTTTACTAGTTACTTAGAATTGGTTTATAATCGTGTATCTTTTTATAATTTATTACATTTGTCACACTTTAAATACGAAATGACTTGCTCCAGCTTTTATAAAAGCTGGAGCAAGTTATTGTATATTGTATATTGTATATTAAGACGCAATGAAACTACCGGACCACGATGTATTGGGACTTGCCACCATGGCAACATTAAAATATATCGACTCTGTTACATCGTTTCCTGTTATTATACTATATTGTATATTGTATATTGTATATTGTATATTGTATATTGTATAATGTATATTGTATATTGTATATTGTATTTTGTATAAATACAAAATACAATATATCACAACTTAAACCACCTTGGATATGACCATACTAACTTTACTTCAGCATCTCAAAGATTACCGCTCAAGCTCAAAATAACAATAAAATTACAATAAAAGCTCGCAATTTAGAGATTTTCTGGGCCGTTTTATGTAAATGGTAACTGTAGTAAGTATTTGAGGAGTCATAATCCTCCTCAGATAGTGTTTCTCTTGTCTCGTATAATATAAACTGTATAATGTCACACTTTGGTGACAGGTATAAAGCGAAACATCTTACTAAAGTTATAACTAAATGTAGAGTTAGAGCAAAATGTGGTGTTAAGAGAGTTATTTCAGTGTGTTTGTTGTTGCTCAGTCAGATGTAATAACTTGAATAGTACCTAGTATATAGTATATATATAGTATAATAGTACATAGTATCATCTTCAATTCGTTATTCGTATGACAGGTATGTTCTGTGTCAATCAGAACCGTTCATAGAATATTCGCACAGAAAGCCGCCGGTCCAAGTACTACAATAATTAGTGGTAACTGCATTCCTCACATACCTTACTTCCTCCTAACAACCCCTGTTTCAGGTTGTGGTTTGTTCCTGTCTGCCTCACACCACAACTACCCTGGTGGTTACGCCCTACAAGCACTCCACAACCAAGCCCCCTGTTCTCAAAACACAACTGTTTATATCGGCAACTTCGCTGCACAGAATGGCGTGTCGCGCTTCGGCGAGAAGTGTGAGTCTCTTTATGGTGATCGCCGCTGGAATTACGTCAAAACAGAAACTTTGGACGTTGAGACAATCAGAAACTTTAACATACTGCTGGTTGAGCCAAAAGAGGCACATCACTATCAGTTCACACATTCTGTGGTTGAAAAGTTTCATGTCTATGCTGGATTACAGTTCACCAAGGATCCACCTTTTGTGCTGACCAAGAAAAAAGAAGCTATTTATTTGATGAAGTCTAAAAAGATTAAGAAGAAAGTTTATGTGAAAGACTCGTAGCGCAAATACTACATATTATTTTAACATGTTTCTCGTTGCCAACAAATTTACATATAAACCACCATATTTATGAGAACTATCCTGGATTGAACACGCTTTGCATATAATTTACGATTACAGAAGTAGCAGTGCATGTTTCCTTATCTTAACAATAACTCCTATCCAGTGGTAGACACGTTATGCATCTTTACTCTTCAGACTTATGTTTACATACTATGATTATATATACTTGACCTGTTACTGAATCGTTGCAGTTTCTTTTTCTAACTTACTGCTCACTCCTAACTTTCCATTATATAATATCAGTGCTTACGTATGTTTTATTAATTTATTGATGCGGAAATCGTGTTCTATATCTATTATCTAAAGCATGAATACAATTATATTTTAGATAAGTTATTTTCGAATTTTGATTGCAAATGGTTTGAATTTTTAACGGGTATTATAATTTTGTTTGATTAGTTTATCTTTTTTTGTTCGTATTTTGATTAATAATATTATATAATACTTTATAACAGCATACTACTGCACTGTTTTATTTGCGCATTCTAAACTTCCAAACTTTAAATAACTGCTGTAATTGGGCAATTTGGGTAATAACATCACAGCATTGGCTTTTTAAATCATACGGACGTCTGTCCTTCTACTTAAAGAAGTTTGCCGGATTGCACAATTACAAGAATTTGTGACAAAACAGTCGACAAAGTATTCAAACAATTTGTCAGGATGATATCTAATACTTACCTCGTGATATTATCTAACATTCCTACCTTCTCAGTAGCATGATGTGAAGTAAGAGTACTTGTATCTCGCAACTCACTCAATCCGACTAACACATAAACATCATCAATGCTTTATGAGTAGTTCTCTTTGCGAGTAAGTTTAGATAATTGTTCGTGATATCTTTCTGATTGACAGCACATAGATATTAGTAAAAAAAGGCAAATAACTGGTAAAAATATGAAAATAGTCGACGTTTCTGCACTAGTCGGCCTAAGTAATCTTAGTAAAAGGCCAATGAGTGCCAAAACGTCGATCATTTTCATATAGTTTTACCAGTTCTTTGCCTTGTTTTACTTAGACAAAGTCGAGAGCTGTGATGCTTCCTACTAAACACTACTATGTGATTGACAACAAACAGCCATCTGATTTCAGACTATTTTCAACATGTCAGTTTCTCTAACCAATATGTTAATTTCTCTGATAACTGTGTGTGATTTTACCTCCTAACCCTGCAACAGACTGATACAAAGACAGAAAAGCGGCAGCAGTAAGATGCGGAGCGGTAAAGTGGATCGTAACCACGCAGTCTTTATCGAGCGCACTCGGGAGGGGGACCAGTTTTATAGCATACTCGCTACGCGCTCCAGTTCAGACAGTGATTGCAAGCAACTTCAACCTCCTCATCGGAAACAGAAACGGTTTGTTTTTGTAACCAGGCATTTTCCAACATTCCATTGTTGCAACAATTTGTGTTAAAGGCACAGATTACCTCAGCTTAGAATTATCAATGGGTAAACAATCTTGTTTGATAATTATACTGATTTTAATATCATATCACTGTCTATACTCAAAACTCAAGCTTTGATTTTTCAGGAGACACTCTGCGTTATCAAGCAGTAATGTTTGGAGAAGCGTGTTCTTGACGGGAACTTTCTTTCTTGCTCTAGTGCTTCTGGCTACTATGGCTTGGCTCGTCATTACCATGAAGTTCCGACTTGAAACTTTGGAAGTTAAAGGTTTGAACTAGCAGAACTCCTAGTTTACCAACAACATTAATATATAATGTTTTGTGGATACAATTTAAAAGTTTATTCGTTCTGCTCAACAGTAATTACTGCACTTTATGCAATTATGTATTATTTTAATTATGAACGTAATCTAAAAATTTTAACAACCTTATCAAATAAATCCCTAAGTTATGAGACTGGCGAACGATGTTGATAGCTTGTTACGGACTCAACTGACTTGGAGTTCTACTCAGACCACGATGAATAGTTTAAGTGGCCAAGTAAGCGATAAATCTATATTTTGACATGTCAACGTATAACGTAATTTGTGTTCCCGGTTCATGTTTACAGTATCCTATAAACTAGTTATCGTTCATCGCGGATGCCAAACATAGCATAAACACATCAGAAACCGGATTATACCTAATATGAATTACATTGCAGATACAAGGTATCAAGAGTGATATCGAGAGAGTTGAGGCATCGAATAAGTCACCAGAAAAGGTATGTTTGCATTTGTTACAGCTACTACTGCATGTACGTATGCACATTCTCCGGCAGTCACACCAGAATGGTGTTTGCCTTGTAGCGCGCGGCGCAATTTTAACAAGTAAAACGTGACATTTCCCCACTATTCATGGACACGTATCGTTTTGTTGTTTTGATGGTAGAATTTATAAAATATACAAATTAGATTTTGGCACGTTTTCAACTTATCGATTAGTAAAACAAATTTTTTAGTAAAACAAATTTAAATTTTGGTATTTATTAATAACAATCAAAACATATCATATCATAAAAATAAAGCCGCGTGTTGGTTGACTGCCTCAGTATGGTGAATAATTTAAGCTTGAAGGTGCCCTGCGCATTTACAGAACATTATGCGGCGATCACATGATCACGAGGACCTGTGAGCGCCAAATTTAATTTAAACTTTCTAGAAATCGTACATCACTACGAGTTACTCATGCTTTTGAATTATAGGAGTGCGGATTGTCAGGTATTTCATTCATTCATACTTAATCGGTTTAAAGCTGTATATTTAGAGCTCACTATTGTTTGAACTATGAAAGCAGAACGTAAATAATGGACAATATACCGACGACAATACCAAGGACCCGAGTGCCGCATTGACTTTTCCGGATCCGTTTTTACCGAAGGCTTATCCACCAGTTACTCATGCTGCATGACGTATAGTCTGATAATATTTTGCTTTATCTCTAGCAAGCATTCTGTAAGTTGGAGTGTCGTATTTATTATAGAAGAGCCAGCCAACCTCCGCATTACAATCTTTTGTATGCCAGGTTCGTTTATAAAATCTAATCATATAATAAGATTGATCCAATAGTCTAAGATGAACGGTATATCTTAGCTCATCGTTATTAAAATCCTAATGGATGAATTAATCAAGTAATGTTCCCTTCCAACACAACTAAACAACAAACAAATGCTTGCCCACCAGTGGTGACGCAATCGTAGGGGCATGCAGTTGGTTCAGATAACTCTCACCCCGACGACAGCGTCGAGAAATTATCAAATTATGCATTTGCGCCATACTGGACACATTTAATATTTAATATTTTGTGGTTTGTAGAAATTAGTGTCATCTAAAGTATAGCTTAACTGGCGAGCAAGCATTAAAAGCTTTAAGAAGAATTATGCTGGTTTTTGTAGACAGAGGTAAGAATAGACCACCTGCCTACCTACCTATTGAAACAATCTGTGAACCACCTCCTTGACTGCACCAGTCTGTTATCTAGTTCGGGTTTTCTGCACTGTATCCATGAGTTGGGGGTTTGTCTGGAAGAGTGTCTAGGAAGTTTCCAAGAAATGTCCCGAACCCAGAGTCTTTTGTGTATTGAACATTTTGGACAGAACATTCCCGCGTCATGCAGCTCTACCTGCGAATGAGTTACCGTATGCAGAGCGTTCAGCAGCTGATGTTTCCCCGATCCATGACTCCTGTGCCGAAGGCACAAAAGAGTCAAGGACAATGTTTAGCGAACGAGGTTTTTTGTTGTTGTATTATATGGTAGCTTGCCACCGTCCAGTGGCGTAACGTTGCCTGTTGCCCCCCCCCCCCCCCCCCCCCCCCCCCCCCCCCCCTCGCCGAAAATGCGCCCTCCTGTTGGCGCCCTCTCCCCACCTCAGTTAAGTTTTTCAAAATTGTCCCACATTCAAACGACGATTTTGCGCCCCCCTAAGATGGTTACATAGAAATATACACGATTTTCAAATTCAATATGGAATTTACTGCTTACTGGGCGGCGCTCGGCCTATCCACTGTCAGTCCGCCATACATGCATTGTGCATGCTTATAAACAGTAAAGCTGGGGTTCCCAGGTTGTATGGAATATAATAAAATACGTCATCACGGGTCGGGAAATTGAGCGGCCATCCACAAAAGAAAAGCATTTCTTGTTTAGTGAGGCGTCTGTGAGAGAAGAAAGTATTACTTTAACTCCCAGTCTGGCATTCTCTCTGAACTGTACATCTAAATCAGTTGGACATGTTATACAGTGGAGAAGTTTCCACAAATGTACGATAATATAGCGTTCTCGGCGCTTTTGCAGGGATGATGGTTTCACTTCCTTCAGTCTATTCCAAAATTCCGTGTCTTTGAACGTAGTGAACACTGAACTGGTGTTGTATGATCTTGACAGATTGAATATCAACTATGATTGTAGGTCACATTAGCTTATAGCTAATTAAACTATGACTTATGAGTCATAACTATAATTCATAATTATGACTAAACTTTATCACAGGGACAGTATGACGACCTAGCCCAGATCCAAAAACAGCTAACACAATCTGTACAAGGTAAACGTAAGGTTAAGCCACGTTTTTCAGTGGTTACAATAATATAGTGATCTATGTATAATAACAACAACATTTATTTCATCGCCTTCAGCCAAGCTGAGATATTATTGGGAAAGACTATCCTGAATTTTTTAAGTTTAGAATTAATTCTAACTTCAGATTTGGAAAGTCAGATAGGAGGATTGAAAGAATCGCTTACAGCTCAAAACATTTGGAGCATGTTGTCCGACAACAAGGACATTCACTGTCAAATAACTAATTGCAAGGTGATACCACAGTCCATTATATTAATCTTTCCTTTGCTCGTTTTGCGACATCATATTAGCATTATCTCTTGTTAAATCAATCTCTACATCACTCTTACATTTGGCACCGTGCCCGAATACCGAATATCACTCCCACAGGACGACTCTAGTTAGTTTCCAAGCCTCATGAAACTACTCTGTATATTTACCGCAACATTTGTAAACGCTCTGTGATTGGGTAATTGGTATGATTCTGAGCCTCTGATTGAGGGCTGATTACCTACTATTCAATTATCTACTCTGATACAACACCATAATTTAACACTTCTCTTCTTTCAGGACAACGGCACAGACAGTGGTGGAAACTGAATTTAGTTAGTTTTATAATATTTCTATTCATGTTAAAAGTTTGTGTTCATGTTTAAGAAAGGTTTCGTATGAATTAAATCTGTACGGTTATTTCTCCGTAAAAAGAAATTCCCCAAATTGACGGAACAAAACTGAAATATTACCTGGCCTATTTAAGGCCACAGGGGGGGGGGGGGGGGGTCGAGGCTTCAAAAAATGCAAAAAAATATTATGCTTTGAATCAATATATATTTTTGTGGTGGATACTTTGCCACCACTCATTTGTCTGTAGCTATTTTACTTTTTTTTATAAATGAGGTTAACCAATTCTCATTTAACCTCATTTTTTTGATAAATCGATAATGGAGGGCAGAAATAGGTTGCCATTACAACTGAAAACTACTAAACTACGATAAGCTTTGTTTTTTATCGTTTTTGTGTTATTTCAGCAGTTAAACTTTGAAAAATATACAAATAAAGGCAAAATACTCAAAAATCACATAACATAAAAAACAGTTTTTTGCCTCTCCTGAAAACCTCGCATTTTTGACTTCAAGATCTATCTTCTCCTAGAGTTTTTATCCATTTCACCTCAAATTTGGAACTTATGTTCCTGGCATAAATTTAAAAGTTTGTTATGTAACGATTGTTGTAATTTTGCTCCTAACTCTTTTTATGAGGTTAACCATTTTAAATTTTGTAACCCGCACTCATGGTTAACCTCATATCTCAGCTTTGGAGCAAGATATCATAAATCGTTACATAACGAAAACTCAAAATACCTTGAAGAACATTGTTGCCAAGTTACAAGGTTCTAAGTCATAAACTGAAAAAGAAGCTAAGATAGATTTTGAACACGATTTCATTTAAAGTTTTCATTTACAATAGAATTACAGGTAAACCTCAAAATTCAACGCGCGATATCTTCAAATAGGAAACTTTGTTTTCGGTAAGGACAAAAGCATTTAAAAATTTAGATCGAGCTCTACAACATATCTCAAAATCGACCTCGGACCCCCCCCCCCCCCCCCCCCTGTGGCCTTAACCGGGTTATTTTACGGAGATATAGCCGGCGTCTTGCAAATAATCCCATATAATATAATGATGTTATGGTTGAATGGTTTAAAGTACTGAGAACAATGTGTTTCCCCAGTAATTTCAGTATATTATGGCAGTATCCTAGAAATCAGACAGAGATTTTGTTAGATACCCACAGAGAGCTCATATCGTGGACCATTATATTATTATAACCGCACTATTCAGTTATCTTGTTAACTGAGCTGGTCAGTGTTTACTGTTGGATATTGTCCGGTTTCTCGAATACTGCAGATTATGGGAATATTATAGGGTTTAAGAAGCAGTAAAGGACTGTAATATTGAGTCGGATTCGCTCAATATTGTTTTTGTGTTAAGTGAATGGTTTTAATATGAAAAAGCTTTTTGATTGAATTTACGTAATCACAATCACATATCGTGGCAGCTCAGGAAGGACCAACCGTTTTCTACATTATAAAATAATGAAATTTAAAGAAGAACTTGAAAATATCATTTAATTGTTATGTATCGTTATTGAAAAGTGGTATCACTGAAAATAACTTTGAAATGTTAGCGCTTCAATGTACAGCTCCAACATGAGTAATGAGAGGCCATAACTATTTAAAGTTATTTGCTAATTAAGGGCTATACAAATGACAAGTCTTCCTATCTCTAAATATCACATCTGCCAGTAGTAGCCCCAATTTGATATCTTTATCGTTGCCATTATATGTGTAATTACAGAGCATTTATAGATCATCTTGAAGCCTCATAACCGGAGTGTTTTTTGTGATAAGGGGTTTGTTGGGTACAATTTCATGTGATGAAATCAATCGAATTTTTACATGAGTAATATAATATGTCCTTGTCACGTTTTCGTATTTGCAAAAATGGCACATGTACATGGGACTACGAATACGATTAGGGATCGTTCATATATTACGTAAGCCATTTTTGCAATTTCGAAACCCCCTTCCCCCTGCAACCCACTTTACACATAGCTATTGTTGAGAAATTACAAAGCTTTTACAAGGCTCCTCCCCCAAGGTTGGCTTTCGTAATATTATGTAAACGAGTAGTGTAACCCGTGCCTACGGCCGGGACTTCGCTAATTCGCAGTTGAATTGCAAAAGTATAAACAGTGCAAAAGTTAAAATTGTGCAAAAGTATAAACTCGCTCAGTTGAATAGAGTAAATTTAGAGTAAATTTAATTCTGAGCGCCCATCATGTCACGTAATACTGTAATACGTATCCAATAGTAATACTTAATAGGCTCCACTGCAAAATTACCTAATTATGTAGGGCAGGAACCGAGAGTGCCCAATGTCATGACAATTTTACGACAATATTTGACATTATATGACAATATACGACAATATATGACAATACATGACAAGATTCGACAATAAACGACAAGATTTGACAGTATACGACAATATAATATGACAACATTTGACAATATTTGACAATATATGACAATATTTGACAATATATGACAGTATACGACAAGATTGACAAAATGTGACAAACCGTAGGAAAATGGGCACTCTCGGTACCTACCCGATGTACAAAGCAGTAATTAGGAGAGCTGTAAATGGGGAGAGAGAGTGAGAGAGAGAATGTGAGAGAGGGACAAAAAGTGAGTCACTTTAATATCAAATTTGCAGTACAAAACCATCAATTAAACCACTTACCACCGGCCGATTTAAAAAACCTTAATCATTTGGCTTGGTCAGAGTCATGAGTATTTTTGAGAGTCCCGACGAAAAGGCCTAAATTCTCATTCTCAAACATTATTTTTGAGTATTTTTGAGAAACGTTTCCAGGAGAGGCGAAAAGGTCTCATCTCAATTGGACCACATTGCACTGATATGAAGAATGATTTGGTATATCACTATTTTTGAGTGGACAATTTTTGAGAAAATGAGAAATCCATGCTGAATTTCTCAAATTCAAAAATAATTTGTGAGTATTCCCGGCGAAAATGGTCAAATTCTCAGATTCACAAATTCTCAAAAATACTCATGACCCCCCTCTACTCCCCCCTATAACTCTAGAATCTTTAAGAGTCACAAGTCGCCGGTTCCCTGAACAGGGGCACGTAGTTGGTAATTTAATGATACATCCCGCTCCTGTCGGTATTGCACTCCTCCACTCCAGGATAAACTATTTATCGGTTATAAAATCAGATCTCCTTAACTGCACTCGTGAAGTGTGAAGAGAAACATTTTTCTGTAGAAAGACATGAGACACTCCCCTCGTATCGCAAGGCGGTGTCGGATGGCAGCAAACTTTAACTTTAGTAAGTAATGACTGGACTGCTTCCTGGATCAAATTCTAATAGCCTGCAGGTCATTGAGATCATAACATTCCGATTTCCGAGAACCTGCATTCTTTAGATACCTGGATACCTGGATTGTTTTTGTCTAACACTAACATTAACTGTAGCAAAATCCTCGACTATTATTAGAATAGAAACACGCACGAATTATTCAATATGAAAGCAAACATTTCTCATCCATTTTTAGTTCCTTGTTCTGTGTTCATCTCGCAAGAACACTACAGCTACATGCCACTTCACTGCAGGGCAATTTATTTGTACAATATACAACTTAGAGCCAGGGACGTTAAAGCAACGGAACTAAGTTATTATGGTATTGGTAAGACAAGTGGTAGGATAGTAAAATGGCCCTGATTTTAGAGATGGTAAAATATTAATTAACTTTATAGTCGTTCAAATAAGTAGATGTAAAACTAATGAAAGTTGTTATGGGCCGTGCTTCGTGACATTCTCAGTACCACAGATCTGGGCAGATACAGTTAAAGTATACACGTAAATCCGACATCTCAGAACCTCCCACAACGTTTAGCCCGCTAGTAGTAGTATGCAATTGGGCTTTAATTGTAATCAACGAACAGCACCAATCCGACAGATAGAACAGGGTCCTGGGCTCGCGGTGTCGTTAACAAGCGAGCCAAGGGAGATCCAGCTATGGGAACAGGAGTGGAGCATGTATATTAAGATATGGCGACAATTCAGTGACCCACGTTACTATCACTAACAACAAGCAAACTCCGCCCTGGATAGACGTTGGTGCCAACTGCCAGTAACATGAGATACATACAGATACATACACTTACATATAGATAAATTAAATGGTAATTATCGCATTTCGGGGCCCGGCCTGCCAGCCATCTCCAAACTTAAATGAAGAAGCAAGGGTTCATCATAACCAGGCTAAGATATTTAAACCAGTTGCGATGTTCCGTGCCTAATGAGTACGGCGTAAATTTCCGGCCAGATCCATGAATAAACTGTCTAAACATGCCTTATCTAAGCGTAACGTGTGCACATTGCTTTATGTATCGGAATGAGAGGCCCGGACTTTAAGATGTAACACAAATATTTACCCCTGGTTTAACATGATATTGTTGCCACTCGGCAGTGTGACGTTTTCAGAAAAGATTCCTTTTCACAATAATTTAAGTCTGAAATTAGGTGATATGAAAAGATGGTCGGGTTTAACTTACGTGTCATACTGAATTTGAAGTTTAGATCGCTAAATTTTAGTTAACAAACTTATGTTTTCAAGGAGTTTTAGAGATACAGACTTATTTTTATTGTGTGTAGTTAGCAGCTGATGCTGCTAAGAAGTGTGCTGAACAATTATTTAGTTAGATTTAATTTGAGTTAGATCTATATTGTTTTAGTGTCCCCATATAATTATATAATGATGTTCTTGAGGAATAAATGTTTTATAAGTGTTTTGTGTACACGAGTAATCGATTTCATATTAGAACATATTTTAGAAGAGACAATTTTTCTTGTTAATAGCGAAATTGTAGAAGAAGAACAGTAATTTAAAAATGGTAATTCCCATTTATTGCAAGTACATTTAGCAACAATTGTTCAAATTTACAAAATAGAATAGAAACAAATCATGTAAGACTCAGAAATAAAACATTCACTGCAAAAACTGAAACTGTCCAACTACTGTTCGATTTCGAGAAATCTTTCGGCCTGTCCTTAGACTTAGAAGCATTTCCTGTGGACAATGCTGGGGCCAGATTCATCATACTCCTGCTTGGAGATCCACATCTGCTGGAAGGTGGACAGAGAAGCAAGGATGGATCCTCCAATCCAGACAGAGTATTTCCTCTCTGGAGGAGCAATGATCTTGATCTTCATGGTGGGTGGAGCAAGGGCGGTGATCTCCTTCTGCATCCTGTCGGCGATTCCTGGGAACATGGTGGTTCCTCCGGAGAGGACGGTGTTGGCGTACAGATCCTTCCTGATGTCAACATCGCACTTCATGATAGAGTTGTAGCAAGTCTCGTGGATACCGGCAGATTCCATTCCTGGGGAGAAAAGGTCGGTTAGTTTACAGAAATTTATTTTCAGTCGATAAATCATATTAAATCTAGGATAAAGGTGAACTCAAATATTTACAAGATTCACGGATATAGAAGAAAATAGAGAATATTCCTAAAATGTTGTTCTTACCGAGGAATGAAGGCTGGAAGAGGGCCTCTGGGCACCTGAATCGCTCGTTTCCAATGGTGATGACCTGTCCGTCGGGGAGTTCGTAGGACTTCTCGAGAGAGCTGGAGCTAGCAGCAGTCTGCATCTCCTGCTCGAAGTCGAGGGCGACGTAGCAAAGCTTCTCCTTGACATCCCTGACGATTTCCCTCTCGGCGGTGGTGGTGAAAGCATAACCTCTCTCGGTCAGGATCTTCATGAGGTAGTCAGTCAGATCACGTCCAGCAAGATCAAGACGGAGGATGGCGTGGGGGAGTGCATAACCTGAAAAATTAAATTGTTTAGATCAATGAGCATTAGTGAGAGCTGATAATTACAAAAAGAGATTTATCAGCTTGAAGTATAGATAGAAAATAGAATTATTAAGTGAAAGTAAATTTCTACATCTTAGAACTCACCTTCATAGATTGGGACTGTGTGAGAGACACCATCTCCAGAATCCATGACGATTCCAGTGGTTCGGCCAGAAGCGTACAGGGACAGGACAGCCTGGATAGCGACGTACATGGCGGGTGTGTTGAAGGTCTCGAACATGATTTGGGTCATCTTCTCTCTGTTGGCTTTGGGGTTGAGGGGAGCTTCAGTCAAGAGGACGGGGTGTTCCTCGGGGGCAACTCTCAGCTCGTTGTAGAAGGTGTGATGCCAGATCTTCTCCATATCATCCCAGTTGGTGACGATTCCGTGCTCGATGGGGTACTTCAGGGTGAGGATACCTCTCTTGCTCTGGGCTTCGTCTCCGACGTAGGAGTCTTTCTGTCCCATGCCGACCATGACACCTTGATGTCTGGGTCGTCCAACGATGGAAGGGAAGACAGCTCGGGGAGCGTCATCTCCGGCAAAGCCGGCCTTTACCATACCGGACCCATTGTCCACAACCAGGGCAGCTACGTCATCATCCATGGTGATTGGATAAGTGTCGGATCAAGATCAACAAGAGAAATTAAAGTTTGTGTGTTTGCAATAAACTGTGCTCCTTTCTCTTGCTCTCCGGTTTATATAGCACCGTTACCCCGTGAGATCACCTGACCAGTCAGTCCTCCCTCTTACTGGCGGAGACCGCGCATCTTTCGGTCACGTGACCACAGCTGCTCGCAATCCCAGGGAAAGATCCATTTTGTGCAATTTATCACCATATATGGACTCAAGAATGCGTCCTACATGTAAACGATATCTGAGTAGTGGCACATGGCGCCCACGTGACCGCTCCTTGCTCTCACAATGGTCACGGCCCAGATCACGTGATGTTCATTAGTCCATTATCTCGGAGCGGTGCGTACTGCGAAATTAGATAATGCGCTCTAGCTCTCGGTGGCCGCGGACAAAGGGGAGAGCTGCTCAACAATAACATTGGGACTTTTCATTCTGTATAACAGGGCTATACAATAGGGAATGACTGGTGATCTTTGTTCTCTTCAAATGTTACAGTCAACAGGTCATCTGGTTAACATCTTCACTGATTCTTTAAATAACCTGAAGGAGGCATCGCTAGAAATTGTCTCAACTCTGTGATATATTTTGTCAGATGATAGAAGGTATCTCAAGTTACCGAAGGATAATTAGTGGCGGATGATAGGGCCAGGTAAATGACGCCACACTCTTATAACACTGGTCTTATCAGGGTGAATAATTTCCTCAAAATCGTCATTTCCCAGGTTTACAATTTACATCCTGTCATCCTGATTGAAAGTTTTGTGAGAATTACATAATCCATTCAGTTATGTTATGATCATGCCGGATATTTAGATGCAGCTGTAAACAATTTAGGAAGTGGTGAGCAGATGGGAAGTTGCAGTTCCTATAATCTAGATCACTGAGCGAATTACACAGATCAACGTTTACATAATCATTAAACTGCCCCGATGTACAAACATTATTACATTATACACAGTCAGTGGCTATATACAGGGGGGGGGGGGGGGCAAAAGTCAGTGTACATAGTACATACGTTGGCCTTTATAGCTCAGTCACTGTACTGAGTGCCCGATTGAAATAATTCTTTCTGGTATGACTTACTATCAACACTCATTCGAGGAATATGTCAACTCAAAAGATATTCATGTTCATTGTTTTTTAAATGAAGGTTCATTTTCGCATTTATTTGATAGTTTGAACAATCGGATCTAGCCAAATTGTATAGCATTGTGTTAGACCATTCAAATTACATTCGCCCTGAATAATAGTTCTAGCTTATCAGATGACCAAGATGAAGCACAACGAGGTTATTCATTACGTGTGATCAGGTGATTGGTTTGGCACTATGGGAATCGTGCAGAGAGCCCAACTTATACGGTGTCGTAGCACGCAATCACATGATTACCCAATCAATTTTGCTAACGAGATAAACAAATTGCTTGATAACTTCGTCATTTTGAATCCGTTTGGCGCCATCTTTTCAGATCGAATTCCGTATTTAATTACCTATTGCAATATGTTACAATGAATTTTCTAGTATTTTCGCAAACACAATTATAAGCAATTCAATGTTGATTGGATGTGGCCCCTAAAACCCAAATTTTCAAATTTTGACGACAGAATCCTTGAATGAGTAGGTACAGTGCAGTATGTCATCTGCAAAGCAACAAGTGATCTCAAATATAATGAAACACGGCGGTGATATAAGACCCAGCGTATGTAACTCTGTACACTGACATTTATGTGAAGAGATAAAATACATGCTAAAAGCCAGTCATATTTTTCAATGTATATAATAGTGAAACACCCAATTGAGGTGTTATTTAAAGGCCCATTTCATAACACTTCATTTTGCTGGAATAAATCAGAGCTTTCTGCTTCAGAGAGAGAATGAGGATTTTAAGAATCTCCCGCATGTCGATTCAAAACATCCAACTAGTCTAATGCAATTATGTTTATACACTGCCTTTATATTCAGATAAAGAACAGGGAAGGATTATGTCTATCTCGTGGCTGTAGACACGGTTTCAGGTCGTATAGATCAGCGGGGTCTTCGAGGAAATGTCTGATGTCAGGTTATTAATGACCTTTAGTGTAGCATTATAGTTATACAATATACATGTAGGTAGATTGTAGGTAATCATGGATAGAACAAAACAGCAACATAATTGCCTGCACAAAAGCAATTCTAACTACACATTCACATTTTTTGTGAACAAACTGATAAGAATCCTATATCTGCACACTTTGTAAAGGCACGCATGTAATTATCAGTGACCGGAAGCCGCACCATATAAACTTATGACATGTTGTCTGAAGAATATCAAACTTCTGATTTATAAATGGTTTATAGTGTATGGTATATGGTGTGTGCCTGTATAAATGACATTTTAGTGTCTTTTTTTGTTGATACGTATACTGATACATTTTCGGCCAATAGTTTCAAGCTCTGACTTGATATAATGTACAAGTTTTAACTATGAATTATGAACTAACATCGGCAATTTGTATTTCATTAATAATTGTTAATATCGCTTGTTGATGCAATTTATCATTTATCACAAGCCATTATTTTTCATTCGGCGTCATTTCATCTTATTTCATATTATTTTCTTTTATCATTTATGCTTCATTTTATTTCTTTTTTTCTACTGTCGAACTCGAAAATAAAGACGGTATTTTAAAAATGGTAATTCCCATTTATTGCAAGTACATTTAGCAACAATTGTTCAAATTTACAAAATAGAATAGAAAAAAAATCAGAAATAAAACATTCACTACAAAAACCTAAAACTGTCCAACTAGTCAGTGTAACAACTACTGTTCAATAATTCATCCTTAGACTTAGAAGCATTTCCTGTGGACAATGCTGGGGCCAGATTCGTCATACTCCTGCTTGGAGATCCACATCTGCTGGAAGGTGGACAGAGAAGCAAGAATGGATCCTCCAATCCAGACAGAGTATTTCCTCTCTGGAGGAGCAATGATCTTGATCTTCATGGTGGGTGGAGCAAGGGCGGTGATCTCCTTCTGCATCCTGTCGGCGATTCCTGGGAACATGGTGGTTCCTCCGGAGAGGACGGTGTTGGCGTACAGATCCTTCCTGATGTCAACATCGCACTTCATGATAGAGTTGTAGCAAGTCTCGTGGATACCGGCAGATTCCATTCCTGGGGAGAGGGGGTCGGTTAGTTTACAGACATTTATTTTCAATCGATAAATCATATTAAATCTAGGATCAAGGTGAACTAAAATATTTAAAGATGCACGGATATAAAAGAGAATAGGGGACATTGATTTTAAAATGTTGTTCTTACCGAGGAATGAAGGCTGGAAGAGGGCCTCTGGGCACCTGAATCGCTCGTTTCCAATGGTGATGACCTGTCCGTCGGGGAGTTCGTAGGACTTCTCGAGAGAGCTGGAGCTGGCAGCGGTCTGCATCTCCTGCTCGAAGTCGAGGGCGACGTAGCAAAGCTTCTCCTTGACATCCCTGACGATTTCCCTCTCGGCGGTGGTGGTGAAAGCATAACCTCTCTCGGTCAGGATCTTCATGAGGTAGTCAGTCAGATCACGTCCAGCAAGATCAAGACGGAGGATGGCGTGGGGGAGGGCATAACCTGAAAAATTCAGTTGTTTAGATCGTGGGACTTAAGTCAGAATCGGCAAGAACAAATGGGGATTCATCAAATTGTGGTTTGGATCGAATAGGAATTTATCGAAAACAGAAAAATTTTGGACTAACCTTCATAGATTGGGACTGTGTGAGAGACACCATCTCCAGAATCCAGGACGATACCAGTGGTTCGGCCAGAAGCGTACAGGGACAGGACAGCCTGGATAGCGACGTACATGGCGGGTGTGTTGAAGGTCTCGAACATGATTTGGGTCATCTTCTCTCTGTTGGCTTTAGGGTTGAGGGGAGCTTCAGTCAAGAGGACGGGGTGTTCCTCGGGGGCAACTCTCAGCTCGTTGTAGAAGGTGTGATGCCAAATCTTCTCCATATCATCCCAGTTGGTGACGATTCCGTGCTCGATGGGGTACTTCAGGGTGAGGATACCTCTCTTGCTCTGGGCTTCGTCTCCGACGTAGGAGTCTTTCTGTCCCATGCCGACCATGACACCTTGATGTCTGGGTCGTCCAACAATGGAAGGGAAGACAGCTCGGGGAGCGTCATCTCCGGCAAAGCCGGCCTTTACCATACCGGACCCATTGTCCACAACCAGGGCAGCTACGTCATCATCCATGGTTAGATAAGTGTTGGATCAAGATCAACAAGAGGAATTGAAGTTTGTGTGTTTGCAATAAACTGTGCTTCTCTCCTCTGCTCCGCGGTTTATATAGCAACATTACCCCGTGATCAGCGTTCCCTCTCTCCTAATGGCTTCTCTATGTCACGTGGTCGCAGCTGCTCGCAATCCCAGGGAAAGATCCATTTTGTGCAATTTTTTAACCATATATGGATGCGAGGAGGCGACCTACATGTAAACGCTATCTGAGTTGTGGCACATGGCGCCCACGTGACCACTCCTTGCTCTCACATTAGATACAAGCACGATCACGTGATGTCCATTTGTCCATTATCCTGGAGCTGTGCGCTCTGTGAAAATTAGATAATGCGCTCTTATGCTCAGTGACCGCGGAAAGGGGGAGAGCCATGCTCAACAGCAAAGGTTCATTCTGAATACCTTTGCCATACCACAGCAAATGATCTTCATTCTCTTCACTTTAAAATAACACAAACCGTCATTAAAATCTTTAATTATTTCTCTAATAACTTTGGAGTAACAGTGTCTCGGCTCAGTGATATGGTCAGTGGGATTTGACAGAAGCCGGAAGGCATCTCAGGTTGTATCACGTGGTGACCCCCACGGTCGCTTCACTATAGTGGCCCCCTGTAGCGTCTTCGACGCTACAGGGGGAGCCGCGCACTTCGTGCGCGGCGGGTCATACAACGTATGACAAATCTCAGGTTACCGAAGGCTTATTATTGATGATAGGGACAGGTTACAGGTGAATATGACGCCACACTCTAATACTTCCCTGGCCTTATCAGTGGTAAATAATTTCATCAAAATCGTCATTTTATAAATTTACAATTTACATCATATTATATCATGCTGATTGAACGTTTTGTGTCGGTGTAAATTACATAATTCATAATGATCATGCAGAATATTTTGAGTCAACGGTAAACAACAAAGAGTGGGCAGTGCCAGTATATAATAAGATGCGGTAATCTAGAGCAATCTGCATTATTAAACTGCTTATTCAGATATAACAATATAATTAGCAAGGATAATGTCTGGCGGTAGAAACTGTTTCTGGAATTAAATTAGTGGTACTTTCCAGCCTATGTAAGGTTATTACTAATTATTACAAATTATTACCACTAATACTGCCTACCTGGGGTTACAAAGGAGACCATGAAACAGACTAGGTACGCCACTTTAAACTCATGATATTTTATCTCACCCAACGAACCTCACCAACAAAAAAGTAAAAACTTAGCCCTAACCACAACCCTAATCTTAACCTAAACCTAACATTAACACTATCCCAAACCCTGACTCAGATCCAAATCCCGTTATCAAATTCAAAACGTTCTCCTTAATATTCACTTTAAGTCTGCACGGGTGATTAATTACGCTGCGCTTGATAGGCACTGATTTAGATTATGTAGATCAGTATAACACTGCATGTACTGATTTACATTTTACAATTTACATACATAATCATATCACATACTGATACTGACAGCATGAGTATGTAC